ATTAAAGTTCCATACGCTCGCCGCCGTGCCAAAGCACATGGCGCTCCCGCGGACGTCGGGAGAAAGGTGCCGCAGTGCCCTGGGTGGCGGACCGCCCACTGGCGATAGGCGTTCTGAAGGTCGTGGCCAAAGACCACGGGGTCCCAACCTTCCGCCCAGGCCCGGAGAACCAGGTCGACGATGTCCCCCAAGAAGTGGTGCATGGGTGGGCACGTCGGCGGCTCCCATGGTGGCGTTGTGCCCAGACCGGCGCCAATCCTCGCCCGGCGGAGCTTGAGGTCGCCATGCTCGTCGACCTGGCAAACGGCGAAGGAGAGAGCCGCGAAGCAGTCCCCCGAAGGAGGCTGGCGGAGCGTGCCCATCCCCGCCACCGACGGGAGAGCGGTGGTGGCCGTCGACCAGTGTTCCGGTGCGGCGCAGGGGCCCATAACCCTGCCCAGGCGAGTCTCAGCCACGAGCTCGTCGAGGAGCGCCTAGATGTGCTCCTGGTCCCGAGGGCGGGCCGACTTCCTGGCCACGTACTGGGGGTTCTCCCGGCGCAGCCTGTCCAGCCCTTCGGAGCGAGCGTAACGCTCATCAGAGCGCGGCTTCCAGCCCGGGGCGGCGCGGACTCGGCCCAACATGTCGAAGCCCTCGGTCACGTCCTGTCGGAGGTCGTCCATAGCCGGGTACCCCAGGTCCCGGAGCAGACGGTCGAAGATAGGCCCTGGAAGGGCCGGGGGCTATCGCTCGCCCTCACGTGCGGGGGCAGAGTAGTGAGGTAGGCGGTCGTATCCTCCGCGGCGTCGTCGACCATCTCCTGGAGCTCCCTGAGCACCTCGGCGCGTGTGCGGACGAGGTCGTCGAAAACGGAGGACCGCCTCCAGGGCGGGTTCCAGCTGGGGCCAGCCGACCAGCGAATGCTGCATACCAGTCGCCGCCGCCCAGTGTGCGTCCTCGTCCAGCCCTGCGCCCAGAAAGGCTGGCGTAGGCCGAGGCGGCGGTGAGAAGTCCCAGCCTTGGCGCGACCAGACCTGCGACAACCAGGGTATGGTGCCCTGACGTGGGGGCGGCGCCGGTGCCCTACCGGACGCCACTGGCTTCGCCCAGGTCGCCATGGCGAGGATCCCCAGCAGCCGGGCGGCGACGCCCCAATGCCAGCCATTCCCGACCATGCGGTGGCGAGTTTTAGTGTCGGCTCCCGCCGTGGCCGTGTACCCGGCGGGGATGTGGTGGAGCTGCTCCTTCACATCTGGCGGGGGAATGTGGAGCACGCCCCGGGAGTTTTGGAGCATGGCTTCGACGGTGTAATGCCAAGGAGCGAACTGGCGGCCCCCTTCCGCCCAGCGGGCGTCGGCGTCTCGAGGCGTACGCCCCCTGGTGGAGCGCGGCTTTGGCCGCCCGTCGTCCGTAGGAGCCGGTGTCGTGGCACAAGGCATCAGCTTACGCCCCTGGGCCACCGAAGAATGAAACTGAAGGCCGCCGAGCTCGAAGGAATCGGCCGCCGACCGGGCGGCTGTCAGGCGCAGGCGGTCCCAACGACCTCTCTTCGCCCACTCCAGGGGCGAGCCGTCGGCGGGGTCGGTGACCACCCTGGTCCATTCCACGCTTAACCATCAGAGGCGCGGGCGAGAGACCCAGCCGAAGTCGGAAGGGCAGACGAAGACAGGCGACACGCCCAGAGCATCGGACGACACCTTAGCCGCCGCCGCGTCCATCTCCACGTTCTCGTACAGGAAGGCGAAGCGATGCTGGCGGAGGACGGAGCGGAGCTCGTCCATGAAGGCGACGGAGTCCTCGAAGAGGCGACCACGATCGCCCTGGTGACCCGCCCCCTTGGCGATCCGCGAGAAGTCCTGGCACGGCGGGGCGGCGCACCACAAGACCATCGCCTCGGCGTTGGGGTCAGCTTCCAGGACGAGGTCCGCCACGTCCTGAGGCGAGTCGCGGGTGAGGTCGCCCCTGTGCTCAACCCACGGCATGGCCTGCTGCACCAGGGCCTTGCGCGCCCAGTCGACCTCCCAGGACACGGCCAGGCGAGGGCGCCCAAAGTCGCGGTCGACAATGTACGGCGCCAATGCCGTGGAAGGCGGAGAGCAGAATGATGTCCCGTTTGCGAGGGCGGTTGGTGCTGAGACGCGGGCGTTTGGCCAAGGGCTGGTCGGGTTCCGAAGCCGCCGCGCCGGCCACGGCCCCGTGTTGTCCCTAGCGCCACTGCCATTGGCCTTGACGCTTCCCGCCGGTCTTCTGGGATTGGCCGCGGCCGCCCGAACCGGACGACCAGTCTTGGTTGGCGTCGTTCCCCGACCACCAGGCCGCCGAGGAGCCGTCCCAGGAGTGGTCGGACCAGCTCGCCCATTGGGAGTCCTGGCGTCTGTCGGCGCCTTTGGCCTGGCCGTTGCCTTTCCGGCCTTTCCCCTCCCCCTTCCTGCCTTTCTTCCCCTTCTCCCCTTTGAACTTCTTGGGGGGGGGGGAGGGGGAGGGGGGTCGACCGTGGCGGTGTCAAGCTCCCGCCTGTTCGGCGGCTGTGGCTTCGTCTTTCCTTTGGGCTCGGGCCGCGGCGGCGGTGCGGCCATGGCCTCGAGGAACGCCGAGATATCGGACATGACGCCCGACGCGACCTCCTTGAAGGTCCGGCGTTGGCCGCATTTCCATGGCGAGCGTCGTCGCGGTCGAGGTCCAGTATTGGACCAGGGCCTCGATGTTCACATTCCTGGCGCGGACCTTAGGCGTCGACGTCCTCCTCGGCGCCCAGGCCCGTGAGGACCCATGCCAGGCGGATGGCCTCAAGGCCGTCGAGGACTGCCATGACGGTTGGGGCTCCAGGACTTCTTCTCCTCGGCCGCCACCACGGCGCCCCCTACGACCTGCAAGGACCCGGCGGGAGAGTCGCGACCAACTGCGGCGAGCTTGTTGAGCTCGTCGGCCGAAGTCCAAGTCCTGGCGGCCAGGATCTCCCCCAGCATCAACGGCGTGTAAGCCTTAGACACCGTGTGTTCATGATAGATCCTGGCGAGGATCGCGTCAGCTCCCGCCAGCCGGCGGGTGGGGAA